CCCATTTCCCCATTTTTGACAACTCAAATAGTACCTCGTCTAAGGTTGTGCCAGGCATCCAATCTACTGCAGCACATGCTGGCAACCTGCTCTGCCCAGTTGCTGTTCCATTCTCCCCATGAAATGAAGGTTGGCTCCAGGAGACCTGCAATCTTGGTATCCTGCTCTCATCTTTTCATCTTTGAAACCGATTTTTTTTTTTTTTGTGGTCAGTCTCTGCAGGACACAGGTTCTTTTTTTTTTTTTTTTTTTTTTTTTTGCTTTTTGGGTCACACCTAGCAATGCACAGGGATTACCTCCTGACTTTGCAGTCAGGAGTTACTCCTGGTGGCGCTCAGGGTACCATATGGGACTCTGGGAATCAAACCCGGGTCGTGTGCAAGGCAAACGCCCTGCCCGCAGTACTATCGCTCCAGCCCCCTGAAACCATTTCTACGGTGAGCATTCAATAAAACACTGAATACACAGATATTGAGAAGGCTTTAAAAGCATGACTTTGGGACCGTAGTGATAGTATAACGGGTAGGGTGTTTGCCTTGCGTGTTGCCGACCCAGGTTAATCCAGGCATCCCATATGGTCCCCCAAACACTGACAAGCCTAATCCCTGAGTGCAGAGCCAGGAGTAACCCCCAAACATCGCTGGGTGTAACCCAAAAAGAAAAAAAAAAGACAACAAAAAGCATGACTTTTTCCTTTTTTTTTTTCTTTCTAGTTTTTGGGTCATATTCTGCAGTGCTCAGGGCTTATTCCTGGCTCTGTGCTCAGGAATCACTCCTGCCGGTGCTCAGGGGACTGTCATATGCGGTGCTGGAATCAAATCAGAATCAGTCAGTGTCTAAACCACTTGTCCTTAAAAGTTCTTTACTTAAGAAAAAAAAAAAACCAAAAACTGAATTTTACCAGCACTGGAAAATCTTTGGCCAGAAGTCTTCTGAGAAGAAATGTAAGCAATAAATATTAGGACCATATGATAAAAGCTTTTCAGGGTATCTAACTATTCTTTATTTTTATTTGGTTTTGGGGCTGTACCTGGCAGTGCTCAGGGGTTACCCTGGCTCTCCGCTCAGAAATCACTCCTGGCGGGTCTTTGGGGACCATATGGGATGCCAGGATGAAACCCGGAAGGCAAGCGCCTTCCCCACTGTACTATTTCTCCAGTCTATTCTTTAAATGTACTTTCTAGAACTAAACAGTGGCCAACAGAATTTGTTGACCAGATTCCACAACCATCTGGGTGGCTTTAAAAGTAATTTCCTAGTGTGGAATCTTATTTTTCCCTTCAAGGCTGGAGACAGAACCTACGTCTCATGCATGCAAAGATGATCTTGCCACTGAACTACATTCCCAGCCCTGAACATTTTTGTTTAAATCTGCTAAGTATCTTACTGCCATTAATTAGTGCCTACCTATTATATAATGTGCATAATATGAAAGATTATCTGACTGAGACAAAAGCTAACACTGAAGGGGTATCAGACTACAGTAGACTGAGTTTTTTCTCATTCAACCACCTCAAAGACTAAGTATGGAATAGATATTATATACATTACATACCTGAGAACACTGATCAAATCTCCAAGCAATAATGTAGTCAGGGCCAGAGAGATGCTACAGTGAGTAGGACGTGTGCCTTACATGCAGCTTACCCAGGTCTGATCCCTAGCATCCCATATGGTTTCCTGAGCACCACCAGGTGTGATCCCTGAATGCTGCCAGAGGTGCCCCCTCCCCTCCAAATAAAGTTGCCTGAGGATAGTTTCTTTCAAACATAGATAAGAATTGGGCGAGTAGCATGCAGCCAAGTTCGGTCCCTAACACTGCATATGATCCGGAGTACTCCTAGGACTGAGCCTTGATCAATCAAGAGTAGCTTCTGAGCGAGGTCAGGCCCAACCCAGCCACTCACCCAAATGAATTGGGCCAGGGAGCTCTCTCAGAGGGTTGCAGTGTATGATTAACTAGACACCAGGTTCAATCCCTGGCACCCTCTGTGCCCGCCCTCGATATCCCCAACACTGCCAGGGATGGCTCTAGTGGTCCCCAGAACCACTGTGTCTCACAGCATGTTACTGTGCCGGAGCACGAATCATCATGTCTGCTCAGTTAGGACAAGTATCACTGGGAGTAATCCCCCGGGTGCTGCGCCCAGCTAGGGAGATCCTGCCCAAAGTGAAACCATGGATGGAGCTGGAGCCACAGTACAGTGGGTCGGGTGTTTGCCTGGCACAAAGCTGACCTGGTTTGGATCCCCAGCAGCCCATGTGGTCCTCTGAGTCTACCAGGAGCGATTCCTGAGTGCAGAGCCAGGAGTAAGCCCTGAGCATCGCTGGGCATGGGCAGTTCCCTCTCTGCAAAAAGTATACCACTGATTGGGGCTGGAGAGATAGTATATAGGTCAAGGAATTTACCTTGCATGTGGCTGACCCTAAATCTGAGCCCCAGCAACATTTGATCCCTGATCACACAAGCTCAAAGCCTGAAACAAGTCCTTAGCACAGCCCAGTGAGGGCAGAAACAAAAATACCCAGCTAGTAACTTAGAGAAATCAAGTCATATATTTTTTTTTTTTTTTGGTGGTGGGGTCAGCAGGTACATACCCAGCAACGTTTAGGGGTTACTCCTGGCTCTACACTCAGGAAACCGTACGGAACACAGGGATCAAACCCAGGTTGGCCACATGCAAGGTAAACACCCTACCTTCTGTAGTCTCCAGACCTGAATACCCTTGCCTTAGCAACTGAAGTAAAACAATGTGTTTTATGCTAGGGACATAGCTCAGCAGGGAAGCACCTGCTTTGAACTTATGAGGCCCTTGGGGTGGTTAGACCTCTCCTAGCAGTGCTTGAGGAATCCTATGCAGTGCCAGGGAGCAAACACAGGTTGGCTGCCTTACCGCATGTACTCTGTTTCCAGTTTTCAAATTGTCACTCATTATTTTTGTTTTGGGGCCCTTTGGGGGTCATGCCTTGTGGTCCTCAGGCTATATCATGTGGTGCTGGGGATCAAACCCGGGCCTCTTGCCTGCAGAGCATTGAGACTGTTGCACAACCTCTCTGATCCCAGGAGAAATGACCTACTCACCAAATATGCTTCTTTGATTTATATGTATTATTCCTCGGACACTGTGATTTATAAATTTGTTGACGACAGGTTTTCAGACACAATGGCCTCAACTCAGCCCCTTCATGAGTTACTGCATCCTTTCCCCGGTGGCTCTGGGCTTCTTCCTCCCCTCTCCGACCCACCCCAAACTGAATTCTTGAAGGACGTATTTTGAAGTTTAAGAGTGTAGTGGCTTGATCCCGTGTGTCTGAATGGCTTAGATGTACAGATACCTTATGTCTGCACCCCTTGCCCATTACCCCAGACCTCCTGAGTCCCTGCATTCCTTCCTTGGCATTTGTTTCTATAATCTAGAACCCACCTTTGATACCTTCCATTCCCTAGATATTATTCTATACACCACAGATTATTGAGGTCATTTGTAATTGTCCTTGTTCTTCTAAATTCACATGGGATCCTCTGGTTCCATCCAAGTTGTAGTAAATTGCATGATTTCATCACCCTTGTGTCTGCAGAGTATCCCACTGGGTACGTATGCCACACCTTCATTATCCACTCTTCTGTCATTGGACATACCTGAGTTATTTCCATAGCCTTGCTATTGGACTAAGTGCTATCATGTACATAGGTGTGCTTTTCTTTTTTTTTTGGGGGCGGGGGACGCAACACCCAGCTATGCTCAGGGCTTATTCCTGGCTCTACACTCAGGGATTATTCCTGATGAGGCTCTGGGGACCATATGCAGAATCATGAACCTAATTTGGTCAGCTGCATGCAAGTAAGAACCTTATCCACTATACTCTCTCTTTTCCGTTTTTTTTTTTTTTTTGAGGGGGGAAGGGGTCATATCTGGTGGTGCTCAGAGCTTACTTACTCTTACTCTGCACTCAGGAAACACTCCTGGCAGGCTCTAGGGACCATATCAGATCAGTGTAAGGCAAAAGCCCTATCAACTGTACTCTCTCTGGTCCTGATTTTTCTACTTTCTACATTAGCACATATGGTCCAGGAACAGCCTCCCCGTCCGCCAAACTAAAAAACACTCCAGGACCGGAGAGAGAGAGGCTGAGTGACTGCCTTGTACGCAGGATGGCTGGCCCCCTGACACCGTCTGTGGTTCCCTAAGCACTACTAGGGACATCTCCCAAGCACAGAGTCAAAAGTAGACCCTGAGCACCACCAGTTGTAGAAAAAAAAAAAAAAAGAAAAAAGACCAAAAACTCCGAATCTCCATCCAGTCTCAAAAGGCACAACACTTGGACCTCAGGGCTGTGGCTGATACTTCACACACTCACCTCCACTAATGTAACTGCTTCCATTAGCAAGTTTTCTCCCAGTTTTCTACTTCAGGGCTCTTCTTACTACTGGCACAAGGACAACACTCTCTCCATACTACCATCCTTTAAACCTTACAAACAAGGTGACCCAAGTGACAGTACAGGGCTTAAGGCACTTGGCCAAGACCAGAAATCCCTGCCACCTCAGATGGTCCCAAGCAATAGGAATGATCCCTGAGCACAGAGCCAGGATGAGCACTGTCAGGTGTGGCTCCCTAAACAGATGAAACAGCTCAGTGGTAAAGCACCTAAGAGGCTTGAGTTCATGGAGTTAAACCTCTGGTACCGCCCCTATAAGCCACGTGTGATTCCAGCCATTAGGTCCCGTCAGGCACACCACAATAAAGGGCACCCAACACTGGAATGTGTAAGCGCTGCCCCCAGGGTGCAAGTCCATTCATGGAGAAAAAAAGCATAGAATTCTTTCTAAGGCTCTTGCTTTGTATTCCACCAAGCCAGTTTGGATCCTGGCACTGCATATGGTCCCCCCAGCACCACCAGGTGTGATTCCTGAGCACAGCCAGAAATAGCCTCCGAGTAACATAGGTATGACCCCATCCACCCGCCCCCCCAAAAAAAAACCCCAGAAGAAACAAAAACATCATCCTGGTCTGCTTTAATTCTTTTCACATTTAGGTAAACTGTTGTTGCCTATAGCAGTTCTGTATGTTCCCTAGTATCAGAAACTATAAAACCACTGAAATCTAAAGAGGAAACATTAAGAATCCAAGCATCAAGGGGCCAAGAATCCGGGTATGAGGTTGTCATGTACGTAACAGAGAAGTCAAGACTGCTGGTATGAGGTTGTCACCTATTTCACCCACCCAGAGGCAAGCTCAAGAAGCCTAAGGCGTCCACCACAACGAAAGCCTCGCTGTGAGGACAAGCCCATTATGGTCCAATAGTCAAGTTTCAAACTGCAACTTGAACAAAGGCCAGGCCGGGTTGCTGCCGCCAGGGAAACTTGAGTGTCTTCTTCCATGGGATTCCCATACAGTCAGGCCAGTACTGGGACCATGGCGGCTTCAAGCAGGGATGGCTGGAGGTTAATACTGGAAGCTGCGTTTCGTCTGGATATCATCAAGAATCTGCTGGAGTTCCTCATCTTCAAACCGGCCCTCGAGGCTACAGGAAGAAACACAAAGAGTCTGAGTAACTGGCAAGGCCCCTGCTCCATTGCCTGCTCACCATCTCAGGGTCCTGAAACATGGACAGCTTGATTTGGAAACGATTTCTTTCTGCGTTTCATTCGAAATACATTATAAAGTACATCAGATGTAGAAAAGGTATAAAAAGATAACCTTAGGCCTTATCTCTACATATTTCTTTAATAACTAGAAACAAACCGATGGTTCATTTTAAATTTTTGTTCGGTTTCAGACATGTGATGTTCTATTACTGACTCCACCACCAGTGTCCCAGGTTCCCTCTCTGGCCCCTGCAATCCCAAATTCATCTTTTTTTTTTTTTTTTTAAATTTCTGACAGATTGTTGTCAAGTTTCTGTGATCACAGCAATAAATACTGGAATAAATGTTTTCTTGTAAATTTGCAAGTTGACTTTAGGACATGTACCCAGGAATGGATACACTTGTTTTTTTGGGCCACAGCTGGCTGTGCTCAGGGCTTACTCTTAAATATGAATTTCTGCACTATAGGATATATCATACTTAACTCTATTAAATGTGGTCAAGACAATCTTTATTAGACTGTTCTCTAAAGTGACTGTATGAGGGGGGCAGGAATCCAGTCCAGTATAAAGCTCATTCCATACTTCTGGCCCAGGGCTCAAACCTTAGGGTGTACTCTCTCTCTCTCTCTCTCTCTCCTTATCCCCACAGTTCTGTTATAAAATCATGCAAAGGAGAATGCGAGCTTCAGAGACAACACAGCAAGTAAGCTGCTTGTCCTGCACATGCCTGACCCAGGTTCTATCCCAGGCATCCAGTATGGTCCCCCAGGCATCACCAGGAATTGATCCCCGAATGCAAAGTGAGCCTGTAATACTGCTGGGTATGCCCCCCCCCCCAAAAAAAAACACAGCACAACAACAACAAAAAGAATAAAGGTGGCCAAAAGATACCTCAAGATCTGGAGTGCAAGAAGAGCCTGGAATTTGAGTCTAGCACTGCTGTATGTGGCTTCAATTTTTTTTTTAAAACTGCATTTTGAGCTAGGGAATGTGGCTCAGTTTGGAAGGAAGGAGGACAGGGAGGGAATAAAGCGACTGGGACTAATTTACATCAAATTTTAGTTGCTCCACACTTCTGCTAACAATTATGCAATAAGACCCCCATCTTCAGAGGCTGGAGTGATAGTACAGCAGGGTGGACACTTGCCTTCCAGGCAGCCAACCAGGGTCTTCAATCCGCAAGACCCCATATGGTCCCCCAAGCATCTCCAGGAGTAAGCCCTTAGCACAGCTCCTTGCAGCCAAAAAACAGAAAGCAAAACAAAAACCACCATCCTTGTATTTTGTCCCTCTAGTCCCAGCCCCCTCATATTCTGTTTTTAATAAAGTTACACCTTCAGCTTTGGTGATTATTAAAATCTTAAATGCACGCACCTTTAAAGTTACTCTTACTTGTTAAGAATTGGCCCAATGCACGTGAACTCCCCAAACTGTTACTAACCTTGGGATCAGAGCCTTGGACTCCTCTGCGGTCTCGGGGCAAAGGTTGGCCAGACACGCCAGCTCAAATTTATGTAGTTTTTTCTGTAGTAATAAACTGAATGTAGGGAAAGAAAAAAAAAAACTTAAATGATGAATAGCAGGGTCGGAGATAATACAGCAGGTAAGATGTTTGCCTTGCATGTGGCTGGCCCAGGTTTGATCCCTGGCATCTCATGGTCCTAGGAGCATTACCGAGTGTAACCCAGAAACCAAAATAAAATATGACGATGAATACAAAATGCAGTGAGCTATTCAAACAAGGAAGAGAAAAAGTAAAGCACTTATAAAATGACATTATGAAAATGTCACAAGAGGAGCCAGAGAGAGTAATGAGTAAGAACTAAGGTATTTGCTTTGTGTTTTGCCAACCCTGGTTTGATCCCTGGCATTATTGAAAGTATTGCTATCAAGTAATATTGATACTACAACACGATGTTTTGATAAATTTCAAGTAAATAATAAGCTCATCATCATCTTCCTTCCTACCTCCTCCACCTCCACTCCACTGGGGATTGGGGGACCATATGGGACGCCGGGGATTAACCCTGAGTCAGCTGCATGCAAGCAACCTATCTGCTGTACTACTGCTCCAGCCACCCCCCCATCTTTTTATTTTATTTTTTATTTTATTTATTTATTTTTTGCTTTTTGGGTCACACCCGGCAATGCACAGGGGTCACTCCTGGCTCTGCACTCAGAAATTATCCCTGGCAGTGCTCAGGGGACCATATGGCACGCTGGGAACCGAACCTAGGTCGGCCGATTGCAAGGCAAACGCCCTACCTGCTGTGCTATCACTACAGCCCCCCTCCCCCCGAATCTTTTTAAATAAAACAATTTCAAATGCAAGGGATGTCTCAAAGTGTTGGAGCACATGCTTTACTCCAAACGGGAGCCCTAATCCCATTGCTCCAGCCCCAGAAGAAACAAAATTTAAGAAACTGCCTTGGTCTTGAAGTTGCCCAAAGACATGAGGACCACATCCCTTTGAGATGCCAAACCCGAGCTCTTTGGAGATGGGGAAACTGAGGAACCATTCACAAAAGGTGGAATACTTCAGAAAATAAAAGCTACAGGAGAATCTAAAGGTCATTCTAGAGCCATAAAAGGATCATTAAGAGTGCAAGGCTTAGGTGCTAGAGTGATAGCACAGCGGGTAGGGTGTTTGCCTTGCACATAGCGGACCTGGCTTCGATTCCCAGCATCCCATATGATCCCCTGAGCACCATCAGGAGTAATTCCTGAGTGCATGAACCAGGAGAAACCCCTATGCATCGCCGGGTGTGACCCAGAAAAAGAAAAAGAAAAAAAAAAGAGTGCAAGGCTTAGAAGGCAGCTGGAATAGAGAAGGGATCACTAAGTCAATGATGTGGATTGTTCGGGATGGGAGATGTGTACTGAAAGTAGATAAAGGACCAAACCTGATAGTCTCTCAGTATCTATATTGCAAACCATAATGCATAAAAGCAGAGAGAGAGTATGGGGGAAACTGTCTGCCATGGAGGCAGGGGGAGGGGTGGGATGAGTTGAGGGATACTAGGGACATTGGTAGTGAAAAACGTGCACCAGTGGAGGGATGGGTGTTCGATCATTGTATGACTGAAACTCAAACATGAAAGCTTTGGCTTTGCAACTGTATCTCATGGTGATTCAATAAAAAACCAACCAACCAACCAACCCAGCATGGTACTGGAACAACAACAAAGAGTTCAAGGCTTTCTTATGACAACATCCGGATTAACCTTTTTTCCTTAGGGGAGGAGGGGGGCAGGGAGGTTTTTTTTCGGGCAACACCTAATGGTCCTCTGGGCTTACTTCTCTCGCTGCACTCGGGTCACTCCTGGCCAGCGTGAGGGAATATATATAGTGCCAGGGATAGAATCTGGGTCAACAGCGTGCAAGGCAAACACCCTGTCTGCTGTTGTTTCATTCTGGCCCAGTAAATATCTTTCAACAAAAGCTATTCTGCTTCACATATACAACAATAAATAAAATCCCTTTCTCTTATGGGTGTGGGACTCACCTCCGAACACTGGCAATGGTCTCTCTGTTTTTGAAGCGACTAAAGCGGGCCGTGTAGTTCAGTGTCTTCATGAAGACCTCGGACAGCTCCTGCTCATCCTCGGCGCTCTCGTTCTGCTGCTTCCGATGCTCCAAAAGCATGTGCACTTCGGAATTCAGGAGAGTCTCGGCTGTTTCAAATTCTATTTGGGAGCACAAGTGTGAGTTGAAAATAGTCCTTGGAACATCACATTGCAAAGGTTTACTCTGCCTTTGAAAGTAGTGGCAAGTGTCTGTCACTGTAGAAATTGAGGCCCCGCAACCTACGATTTTACTTGCATTTATACTTGTGTAGCAGAAGACACAACAGAGTTGATGAGATAACTCAAAAGCAGCTCGAGTCACGCTACTCAAATTCAGGCCAAGTCATGCTACTCGAGAAAAGCACCAGCATCACCATAATTAGGCCAGTTACTGATTACAGTATTTCCTTGGAGAGCCCCCTGGCAAGCTACCAAGAGTATTCTGCCCACATGGCAGAGCCTGGCAAGCTCCCCGTGGCATATTCGATGTGCCCAAAACAGTAACCATAACGGGCCTCATTCCACTGACCCTGAAAGAGCCCCAATATGCCATTGGGCTACACTAGCATGCGACAATGGAGATGTTACTGGCGCCCACTGGAGCAAATCGATGTGATACTGATTATAAAACTAAGCAGTATTTCCTTCCATCCTCTTCATAATCTATTTCTAGTCTAATACTATACTCTGAATTTCAATTATTACTTGTTCTGAAGGGATAAGTGTTTGGAAATACATAATGATAACACGCCTCAAATTCTAGTTCTGTACCTGTAGAAAGCTGCTTGTCATTCTTTTGCCCTTCTCCTTATAAGGCATTTGTGATGGGGTTGGAAGGTCCTACCCTCCAGATTTCTGTATAATGGAGTCTGTGAACTAATCGCAATTCAAATATTTGCCACCACATAAATATTTTAAAACTGGGCTGGGGAGACAGTACAAAGGAGTCAAAGGCATTTGCTTTGCATGCCGCCAATTCCATCCCTGCCACCAAATGGTCCCCCCAAATACTACTGGGTCTGACCCCCAAAACAATAAAACAAAAACAAAATAATCCTCTTGACCATAACAAACGCACTCCCAAGTTCATTGTAGCACTATTAACAACAGCCCAAATCTACGACAATGGAGATGTTACTGTGCCTAAGAACAGATGAGTGAATAAAGCAACTACAGTACAAGGGCTGGAGTGATAGCACAGCAGGTATGGAGACTGCCTTGCACACAGCTGACCTGGGTTTGATCCCTGCCATCCTGCGTGGCCTCCTGAGCACAGCCAGTAGTAATTTATGAGTGCAGTATTGGAAGGAACCCCTGAGCATCGCTGGGTGTGACCCCCCCTTTTTTTTTAAAGAAAAGAAAGAAAGAAAACGCAAGTATGGTACATCTCCACAATGGAAAACTAGTAAGATATAAGAAAAGATGGAATCATGCAATTTGCTACTGCATGGGATCTGTAGAGTATACTGCTCAGGGAAGTTCGTAAGAAGGAGAGGGACAGACGGAGAATGACCTCTCTCATATGTGGGATATAAGGAAACAAAGTAGGGATATAATGAATGCTTGCAGGCAACAGAAAGAACTGGTCTTCAGCAGGAAGCACACCTGGGTGGGGAGGACAGAATGGGTAGGACTCTGGAACGAGAGTGCAGAAGCGGACGTTGGTGGATGCTGGAATGATTTATGTAAGAAACCCTACTCCGTGACAATAAAACAAAACCCAAGAAGTACTGCATTGCAGACGAACTTCCCTCAAGCCCAAAGTCCCTTCACCTGCTGCCATCTGACTGCCTTAAAGCAACAGCCGGGCTCTTTGTCCCAACTTTGGTCCTGAAAGACTTAAACAGAGACCATAAGCAATTTTAAGGGGGAACTTGGCAGAGAAAAAAAAAAAGGAATGGGGGAGTTTGGGTCACACCCAGCACTGCTCAGGGACAGACTGAGGTCGGCATATGCAAAGCAAGAATATTACCTCCTCTACCACTGTTCCACCCCCTTCCCACCTCACACCCTGCTTATGTGATTTTTTTTTCGGGCTACACCCAGCAGTGCTCAGGGCTTACTCCTGATGGGGTTTCGGGAACCCTGTGGGCTGAAGGGGATTGAACCTGGGTGAACTGCACACAAGGCAAGCACTCTACCCACTGTACTATCTTTCTAGTCCCGACATACATAATTTCTAACAACTGAAGGCTGCATCCCCAGAGGAGCCTGCTCTGAGCCCTTGAAAAGAGCCTTGTTCCTTTTTTATTTTTATTTTTGTTTTTGGGTCACACCCAGCGAAGCACAGGAGTTACTCCTGGCTCATGCACTCAGGAATTACTCCTGGCGGTGCTCGGGGGTGGGGTGGGGTGGGGTGGGGGAACCATATGGGATGCTAGGAATTGAACCCGGGTCAGCCGCGTGCAAGGCAAATGCCCTACCCGCTGTGCTATCGCTCCAGCCCGAGCCTAGTTCCTTTTAAAACTAGAAGCCACAGGCCAAGAAGGTAAGGAAAGGGCAGTGAGCATGTTTTATTCAGGAGGCCTAGATTCCATCCCTGGTGCTTCATGGTCTCCACACCCACCAGAATAACATCCAAGCACCAAGCTGGAAGCACTCATCATCAGCTGTAGGCCCAAACACCAAAGCACGAGAGATGGCCTTGCACTCTCTTGGTTCTGCAGATGAGTGAAGCCTCTGGTTGGGACAAGCTCAGAGATGGAGCCCCCAGTGAGCAATGGTTATGAGAGGTACCCCCTTTGTTTATAAGGTGCCAAGGATCAAATCCAGGGCCCCAAACGTGCAATGCAAATGCTTTACCACTGAGCCTAGCCTGAAACTCCCCTTTCGATCAGATTCCAAGTTCTTCCAATGCTCTCAGGAGTGATGCTGGAGTGGGTTTCCAAGAAGCGATCCTCAGTGAGGGCCAGCTGTCCACCTGCAGCAGGCAGTCATTTCTCTTACACATTTTGTTTTTAAGGGGGTTCAGGACCACAGCGAGCAGTGGTTGGGCTTACTCCTGGGCTCTCAGGCACCATACAGGAGGCTGTGATCAAACCTGGGTCAGTCACCTGCAATTCAAATGCCCTGCCCGCTGCACTATCTCTTACCTTTTTAATGTGAAATGTAAATATTTCAGTGGCATAAGACATAACCTAAGCCTGTTTCCACATTCTAGAATTTTCTCAATTCTGTTCTATGAATAGTTGCTACAATTTTTATTCTTGCAAGGAGTCACTTTGGGGATGATCTTCATTTGCCATCTTGGTGATGTCACAAAATATGATTTTGTTTTGTTTTGCTGGTGGGTCCAAGATCAAAGCCAGGTCAACGTGCATGAGGTATGTGCTATACCACCGTGTCCATTCTGGACCCAATTAAATATTACATTTTTTGGGGGGAGGTCACACCCAGTGATGCTTGGGGGTTATTCCTAGCAGTGCTAAGGGGACCATTAGGGTGCCAGAGCTAGAACCTGGATCAGCTACATGCAAGGCAAGTGCCCTAACTGCTCTACTACTGTTCTTGCCCATAAACTATTCTATTAAAATATTTAAATTTTATAAATATTTGGTGGAGGGGCACCATACCTGGCAATGCTCAGGGCTCACTCCTGAAGGAACTCAGGGAATCCTATGTGGTGCAGGGGTGGGGGGGGGGGGGGCACAGGCAAGCTCCTTAAGCCCAGTGTTATCATTCCAGCAGACGAAGGGCATCTCCACATGCAGAGTCACAGGATCAACTCTAGGCGCCACTTGGTCTCCCAAGCACTGCCAGGAGTAACCCCTGACCAAGGCACCGGGATTACCCCTGAGCCCTCCCAGGTGTGACCCTCAAACAAACAAAAAAGCAAATTCACAGAAGAACAAGTACAGGACAGGATACTATCCACCCTGTTCGGCAAATGGACGACGTATGTGCCAGCCAACTCACAATATGATGAGAAAGTTTCAATAAACCATGTTACAGCAATCTAATAAGGAGACAGACACCAACTGCACGTTGTCCACAACAATACGTTTTAGAGGCCAGGCTGTATTAAATATGAACTAGACATCTAAAATGTAAAATGATATATTGCTTTTGTTTTGTGGCCCCACCTGGCAATGCTCTGAACTTGCTCGGCACTCAGGAACTCTATCTGGCAGGGTTTGGGGGAGACCATATGAGATGCCAGGGATCAAACCAGAGTCAGCCACATGCAAAGCAAGTGCCCTGCCACTGTACTATTATTGCTCCAGCCCATAAACAATAAAGAATCTAGAAGAAAATAAAGAAAAACTGTTTCACGAACATTGGCATGCAATATATTGTAAACAAGATTCAGAGAACACTAAGAGAAATGATTGATAAATTGGGCTTCATTAAAATTCAGAAATTATTTTCATCAAGATAGCATTCACATAGTGAAAAAATATGCTAGAGTTGGAAGGGGTATCGCTACAATCATTTTTACAAATCATTATGTACCAGTCTGGCAAGCTCCCCATGACGAATTCGATATGCCAGACACAGTAACAACAAAGTCTCCAATGGAGACGTTACTGGGCCCGCTCGAGCAAATCGACCAACAACGGGAGGGCCTTTACCTTTTTTATTATGTACCAGATTGCCCAAAGGACTAAGGAAGCATATGAAAAACCGTCAAATCACTGGGTCATAAAAATGCATTTTTTTTTCTTTCTGGGTCACACCTGTCGATACCCACGGGGGCATATGGGATGCTGGGAATCCAACCTGGGTCAGCTGCGTGCAAGGCAAACACCCTACTCGCTGTGCTATCGCTCCACCCCCCAAAAATGCATTTAAAAACAAAATTTAAGGGGCTGGAGCGATAGCACAGCGGGGAGGGCATTTGCCTTGCACGCGGCCGACCCGGGTTCGATTCCCAGCATCCCATATGGTCCCCCAAGCACCGCCAGGAGAGCCGGGCCAGCGACGGAGAGTATCCCGCCCGCACTGCAGAGCCTGGCAAGCTTCCCGTGGCGTATCCGAAATGCCAAACACAGTAACAACAAGTCTCACAATGGAGACGTTACTGGGCCTGCTCGAGCAAATCGATGAACAACGGGAGGTCAGTGCGACAGGGCGACAGACAGTGCTCCTAGCATGTGCCACCCGGGCGAGTCTTCCCACCACAGGCGGTGCCCGGCCCAACCATCCATCCCCTGGTCCTGGCTCCTGCCTAGCCCTTCGGGTTTGGGGGTCGCACCCGCGGCCCTCAGGCTGCTCCCGTTCCTGCAGCCCGGCACGCTCCTGGCGGGGCTCGAGGCCCACAGGGACCGGGGCCGGGTGTCCCTGACTCCCGCCGCAGCTCGGCCCGCGCCGGCCCCGCACGGCCGGGGACGCCCCCCACGCCGGCACGCTCCGCACACCGACGCGCGTCCCCCGTGCCAGGAAGCCCGCGGGGCAGCACCGCGACGGAGGCGGGAGGGGCGGGCTTCGGACGCCGGCCCGCTACCTCGGCGCCCCGCGGACTGGGCCCCGGGCCCGCCGCCCTCCCGGCTGCCTGTCGACTGCGGGGCACGCGGACGGCCCCAGGGCCCACCTTTGGGAAAGATGAGCTGGGAAGCGTCCTCCTCGACGTCGGCCGCCCGCGGGTCACAGCCGCCAGCCGCCATCGCAGCGCAGCCCACCGGAAAGCCGCCGGGCCAGAACGGAAGCGGTGGCGCAAAGCCGCGGGGAGGGCGGGGCCTCTTCGGGGGCGTGGACGGAAGGGGCGGGCTCTCCCAAGAGGCGTAGGCGGAAGGGGCGGGCCCTCGTGCGAGCTAGGGCGGGGCCTCGTGGCGGGCGCGGAGCCGGATCGCGGAGCCCAGTGACGAGGCCGGAAGTGCTTGCTGCTCTCCCGGAAGGACCGAGAGGTTGATCTTGAGCTCGCCTTCCTCGCCTGTTCTGTCGCTTAGAATGTGGGCGGGCGGGCGGGCGTTTTTTCACTTAGGGGGGCCACACCTGACGCTCCTGGCCCTGCACCAAGGAATTCCCCGTAGCAGCGCTCTGGGGACCACACCGGGTGCCGGGGATCGAACCTGGGTTGGCGCGTGCAAGAGAAGGACCCTAGCCCCGCTCTGCTGTCTACTCAGACCCAAGTTTTAAGAAAGGGTGGGTGCTCAGGGATTGTTACTCCTCCTGTCGATGCTTGGGGGGGGGATACCACGTACTTGCAAGAGTCTGAGGGTGCGAAGCATGTATCTTACCCTCTTTAACTCGCCTGACTATATATATATATATAAATGTATATATATGTATATATGTATGTGTATATATATATATACATATATATATTGCTCCTGGCTCAAGGATCACTCCTGTCACTGTGCAGAGAAACATATGTGGTGCCTGGTATGGAAAACGGGACAACCATATGCAAGAACATTTTAAGTATCAGTTTTACAAAATGAAGTCTATATTCATTTTCAGGAGAAACTTGTCTGGTCTGTTATGTGAACAGTGGTTTCAGAGTGCTTCCTGGGGCAGGACGTGCAGTTCACTGATAGAACACTTGCATGTGTGAGGGCCTGGATTCAATCCCAGACTTCTCAAAAAGAAAGACAAAGCCATGTTTACCCAGGTACTTCCTACAGTTCATTGAATTTCACAACGTGCTGCTCCTGCACTTTGCATAAACAGCCGCCCACCCCCACCACATGGTCCCGAGTGACCTGTTCACAGAGTCCTTGAGCTACCCTGATTCAGACCAAGTCGGAATGACAAGTGGTACGGTGAAAGAAATATGGAAAACTGTAACTTCCCTTGAGAATTTCACACTTCTGAGTTATCTCTGGTTTACACAATTCAGTTGCTTGTATTTCTGAAATTGTCATCTGACTGTGACAGCTTGCATAACTCTGGACATGATGTTTGAATTCTGCCAATGTTTAATAAAGGCCTCTGAGCTGCATGATTTAAAAATCGACTGATTATTTCTTAGGGGGCTAAGCTAACACCTGATACTCAGCTAACCATGCAGTGGCGGGGAATAAACCTGGGGCTCCTGCATGGAAAGAATGACCTTTAACCCTTTAAATCTCCCCAGTTCCGCAAGGGTTTATTTGCAGACGGAGGGCTGAACCTAGGGCCTCTTACATGCAAGCGCTCCATGGCTAGCCTACATCAGGGTCCTACAAATTAAAATATAAACTGGACTGCATGACTACTTGCATGTTTGAGAAGCTACTTCTCGTCCTCCTCTCCAAACACCTCAGTCCTGCTGACCATCCTAAAGGAATGCTTCCAGTTAGATCAAATTCATCCCTGGGATCTGATTACCCTTTGAGCATCTTATCCCCGCGTCAGTTTATAGTTCTCTGGGAATCTGACAAAAACTATGAACCTTATAGAAAGAAACCTAAAGTGTACATAAATGCTTTTTCAGAGATTTGTGATGCCAGGGATTGAACACAGGGCCACACACATGTATCAAGTACTCTACTGCTGAGCTATCTCAGGCCACTGTAAATGTTTGAGTTCGGGGCCGAAGCAATAGCACAGCAAGAGACAGCACAGCAGCTGTGCACGCAGCCAAGCTGGGTTTGATCCCCGACATCGTTGATGGTTCCACATGTCCCAAGTTCTGGCAGAAGAGGGTGATCCCTGAGCACAGAGCCAGGAGAAAGCTCTGAGCACCACTGGATGTGCACCCCCCCAAAGCCCCCAGGAAAAGTCTGCTCCTTAAAATGGCAAAAACAAATATAAGGTTATGGGGGGGGGTCGCCACATAAAATATGCAGGTTTACTTTCTTCAGGAATGTGTTTGCAGTTCAAAAAAGAACGTAAGACCAAGAATAATTTTTACCCATTATGATTTATTCTCTACAATACTTCGTTAAAGAGTTCAATGATTTTCACTCAAGAAGTTATATAGCCAAGAGGCAACCAAGTGTAATACAAAGAATTGGTCTGAAGTCTTTGCACTGAAGGCCATACAAAGTCTCTTGCTTCAGGGAAATCAGAATGAAAATAAACAGAACACATAGCTTTCTAGGCTCCAGAATTTCAATAGAAAATAACAAGTTAGTGAAACTGTAGGTGTTTAACGTATCATGAAAAACAGATCTTATGCAAATGTTAAATTAACACCCAAGACTTTTGTATAGATGATTTTTATTATAAACAATAAAATATAGGTAATGTCTCAACTACAAACCTTTCATGTTGAAAAGGTCTAACATGAGTTGCTTTAATATGAAGTGAAAAAGTTTAAGAACCTCACAGTGGAAACAATCCAACATCGACAAACTCTAGTGATCAAAGACATTCTCTTAGTTAATGTAGAACAAGGACAATTCATAATTAGAATGTCCTAGCTGTGGGTATTATGAGACTAACTTTCCAGACCAAAAGGCACTCACAGCTAGGGTGAAACGAACTCCGAAACAAGCCAGCCATGTTGGGCTAGGCCCTCTGAAACAGTGGTCATCTTCTATTCAGCCCAAGGACAAAAGAAACACCAACCTGAAAGCATTTCCTTCTCTTCAAACCTCCCACTCATACCACACGTACGAGCCACCCTCATCAATGCTTTGGTCAAGCATGCGGAAGGCAGTTCAGTTCCGGTTCGGAGCCGTCATCTCCCTATGCAAAGCTGCCACATGGATGATCCAGACTTAGTATTTTTCCTGAGAGCCACCTGCCACACTTCATGAGGGGACCATGACTACAATTCCAGACCACCTCCTGACCAGGCCCCTCTCAGGACTGACACTGTATCATTCCTAATGGGGCTGAATCGCTTTCCTTGGTTGACTCCTTGGCTCCCTTGACAAGGCAGGAGAACTCGAGCTTCTCCCGCGCTGGGCTTGCCTGGGAGCCGGAGGGAATGTGCAGGGAGTAAGGCTTCTTCACTCCAAAACCACTGAGCCCACTTTAGTGTGCTGCTGGGCTCACCCAGCCCGATTCTTGTGCACTGATTTTTTTCCCCATTTTGTGTGTGTGTTTTTTTTAAATTTTTTCTGTTCATTTTCTTAAACGGCAGGTATCCTACCCTACCCTCAATAAAATTAAAAAAAAAAAGTACTATACAGTGGGGAAGACAAATAGGGCAACATTTCTACAAGAAAAATTAGGCTTGAAGAGCATGGCACTGTAAATGCTCGCATGACCAGTCTCACTGAGCGTGCTCAGGGTGGAAGTTTAGCACCAGTTTTTTGCTTTTTTAAATCTTTAGAAATTAAACACAACTTTTAACATAGAACACTTGAACAGTAATGAGTGTAGCCCTATGTATCAATACTGTTGTACAAATTGGAGATGGGTGGTTTAGTCCCAAGCTGACCACCCCGACAACAATCCATGGCACCTAAGAGTAGCTGTTGTCACATTTGTCTGTAACAAGACATTTATTCTCAGCAGCAAGACATCAGGAAGCAACCCCCTCATCCTCAGAAGCTTTTCCCTGACACCGAGAGGGAAAGGTGGCGGTCTCCAGAACACAGTGCAAAGTAGGATGGGGTGCTGGGGCCTGCCTCGGACCCCAGAGCCAGCCCCCATTTCCCTTGCACATTCCACAGTCTCCTAAGTGACAGAGGAGAGTGTCCAAAATTAACCTCTCCTCACCCCCCACCTCTTCCAAGAAGCGAGACCGCAACACCTACCCAGTGCTGTTTCTCGGCCTTTAGCCCCACTCCCCTTCCTCAATTCCTGGCTGAAGAACACTCAAAAGACCTTTCAACGTCAGTATCTGCCCATTTTGGAAAGCCATACCATTACCACATAAACTTAAAAAAAAAAATAAATTAAATCAAAACATTTGTGTCCGTCGGGTTGACACCCCATCCACTAGTTTTCTAAGCATGTGGTCGAACACCAGGAAGTGCATCCCCCTCGGGGTCCGTTCTTCCGACCGGCCACCTCTCCCTGGGAATCACTTCAGCAGTGCCTCTGTGGCAAGGCTTCCAGAGCATCTTCCGAGTCCCCAACTTCTATGCACTTTGCCACCAAGGTGAGTGAAGAATAGGCTAGAGGGAGGTGAAACCTGCTGACGGCTACTTGGGATCAGCAGCGACAGGACAGGGACCTATGCCACGTGAAAGTCTGAGTGACCTAGAGAAAGATGAGCTACTTGGAACTTTGCCCTGGTGGGATGAAGACTCCCAGCCTGGCAAGCAAGACAGAGATTCACTGTGTTTGATTGGACAGCTTTGCGGCCAAGCCCCACGAAGGACTGAGGCATCAACAGTCTTCCCTCTGCTACAGGCAAACTAGAAAAAGGAACTCTTCAGCTGAAAGGTCCCTCCGAACACCTGGAGACCCTGGATTCTCTCCTATGAGGTATCACCCTAACGCCCAAGCCGAGTGCTGGCGTGACCATCTCTGCCTGCTGAGCCCCGGCCAGCTATAGGCACTGCTACCAGTAGAGAAGTGAGGTAGCCGGGTGGTAGAGAAGCGGCCTCTCCTTCCACGCTGCATGCAGTGATGACGGCAGGAACTCCTGCGGGCATCCCAGCTCACTCCTCAGCAGGCGACGCCACAGAGCTCAGTCCAGTACCGGAGATGCGATGCCAGAAGAGAGCCCGGAGATCCAGCTGACCGTGGGGTAAGAACCAACACCTTCCAGGCTTCCTGAGCACTGAGAGCTGCAGGGCCGCCCGCAGGGCTTCCGATCTTGATGCGGGTCTCTGTCCAGGAGCTCGGGAGTACAGGCGCCCAGATGCCACCCTAACATGGCGTCCGCTTACAAAGCATGGAGGCTGTGATCAACTCTTGGTTGGTGAGCAATAAACTGGAAGTTTAGAAAAAGGAATTTAAAACAACCTAGAAATGTTTCTTGTTGGTCTCCGTTGCCCAGACTGCCGGGCACACACTGACTCGATCTGGAAAGGCCGTAGGGGGACGTGTGGGGTGAAGCCTTCGCGGGTGATGATCCCGCTTTCACTGTGTGGCCGCCACACAGGTGGCACCTGGATGCCAAGAGTCTTCTGGACCCACAGGGTAATTCTCGCTAGTCATGGAGGAGCCCCAATCCAACAGAACCCCGTACAGAGGAAAGGCTGAGATAAGGCTTGGGCCCCTCCAAAGTTCAGTTTCATTCACTAGAACCCCGCCCCCTCCCTTCAGTTGGCTGGAGGCAGACTTGGCAACGGAAGCTAGCATCATAAAATGGTACAGTAATAGAAGTAACTGGACCAGGACGAGGAGGCGTCTGCTCCAATGATGTCATAGCCATTGGTGGCCACAGGGGGGTGGGACTGGTCATGCAGCCGTGTGTCAGGAGTAATGATTGTAGAGGGGCGGGGCATGAAGAGTGCCATTCTGGAAACAGTGCTGTCGAGAAGCGATATACTCTGCGTAACTGATTGTCACCTTCTCACTCCGATACCTGTGTCAGGAAACAGGACGGGATTAGGAAGCCCAAACACTTCTTGACCGAAGATCCTTCGGCAGAGAAAACCAAACGCTTACTCCACATTTTGAAAGAATAAAATGGAAGAGCAATCTTACAGAAAATGAAAGACAGCACAAGAAAACAATGTTCTTACAAATGAACAAGATGAAAAAGCACAATCACAATTCACCCCTGAGAATGAATTTTCTGCACACCCCACCTTTAAACACTACATATGCTGCTACATCGGGCTGCTCTTAAGCCATCTGCGATTGGGGTCTGGGTGAGAATTTCAAGGTCAAATTAGAAGGGTGGCAGATTGGAAGACGGCTGTACCAATGCCCAGTGTACACTGCACATCTACTTCCAAGATAGAATGTGATATATTTGACAAGTGCAACCTCAATTTGCAGAAAAGCAAACAAACAAGTTATTTATAACCGAAAGGGGCACAGATAACCTGATTCTGGGTCAAATCCAATGAAGCAAGTTAAAGGACCCTGAGGCTAGGTGGGACTGGTCTTAGTTCCCAGATGAATATGCCAGATCGTATCACAGGATCATCAGAACAGAATTCAGAAAGCACTTTGGCTTTGCTCTGGAAAGAGCCATGAGTCAGGATGCGAAGCATGGGGTGTTACGAACCTATGGAGCCTACTACAGACCACAGGAGCTGGGTGTGACAATCCTTACCCAGAGCCATCTCTTTCCCACTGTAATCACTCCTCCACTGCAAGGTGATTATTCCTGAATTTTGACAGGGAAATGGCTGTTCAAATAATTATCGTAATAATAGTAGTAATAATGCTTTGTATTTGAAGTCTGGTTTTTCTTTTTGGAATCCAAAGCATTTCAAAAACACTGGGTTATCTTCCAAACAGACCTGTGAGGTTAGTAAGATTATTCAGCATTTTACAGATGAGGGAGTCAACGGAAGCCCACAGAGGCCGAACCTCTTGGTGTTTCCGGTTCCAGTAGGGCTGGGACAACTGACATCTACTAACCACCTAGAATGTTTGCCTGGGCCCTGACTGCAAATTTTTCAACAACCCTAGAGCACTATCATTCTTGGTTTACTTTCAAATCATTCACCTCTTACAGACAGGAAAGAGGCTCAGAGAGGCAGAGCAACTGAGCCAGGCCGCTCCGCTGGGAAGCGGCCAAGCTGGTGCTGAGATTTCACGGCCGCACGCATCCTCCCGAGGCAGCCTCCCGGCCCAGGCAGAGGTGTCTGCTGGCAACTTCTGGGAAAAGCTTTTCCAGACAATTCTGATAGGTGCCACCTGTGACTGTGCCACCTTGGCCGAGTCAACTGAACACGCTTTCTCTTGACTCGGACCGCCCCTCTCCCAGCAGCGGGGCTGCGGCCTGGACAACGTCCCCGCTCTGCGGTCCCTTGAACAGGAAGGCCAGGATGCCGCCCAGGCTCCTTGGGGCTCAGACCACACCTGCACTCCTTTGCTTTAGGGATATTAGCATAGAATTACTTTCCTTCCCCCTTTTGTCTTAAGTTGCCCAGCACCCAACCCCAACTAAACCACAATGACCAGGATAAGGAGACAGTGGGCTTACCTGGTGAGTTTGATGGTTTTTCTGAATTCATTGGTAATTGGAGCCTTAAAGCCACCTTTCCTGAGCAAGGAGTCTATTGTCTGGATTTGATCCCAGTCTGGGGAGGGAAGCACACAGAGTCAGAGGAGCAGGGGAGGCCGAGGGGCAGAGGATGCAGGGTGGCCTCCATCCCCAGAGCCTGGTCTGACAGCCGACTCCCCCCACAGCGACGTTATCGCCCCTGCCTCACACATCTTTCCTGTCAGGTGTGGCCCTAGTATAACTGTTGAGGTGCAAACATGACCCCAGCTCAGACTGGCCTGCTGCCTACTGGTGACCAGGGCTATTTGGAGAAAGAGAGAATACAGATCCTGTAGTTTGCATGGCTTCATTTGTATTGCTTCTTAGTTATGAAAGTTTCTAGGAATTCCATATTCAATTACACAAAATGGACAGAAAGAAGCCATTCTTCTAGGAAGAATGGGTAAAGTTGGTCCTACATATTATCATTCTGTTACGACTGCATTTTCCACCCCACAAATCTGGGTTTTTTTGGCCACATCTGGTGACGCTCAGGGTTTACTCTTGGTTCTGCACTCGAGAATCATTACTGGTGGTGCTTGGGGGACCATGTGAGATGTTGGGAACCAAACCTGTGTTGGCCATGTGCAGGGCAAGTGCCTCACCCACTGTACTATTGTGCCAGCCCCTGCAATTGCATTTTTTATATATAAAACCAAACACATCACAATGAAAATTAATGCAATAAATTGGATTGTTTTTTCAACCAGCTTTTCACAAGTCTTTTTTTTTGGGGGGGGGGGGCACAGGTGATGGAGGGCGAACAACACCACACTCAGCAGCACTCAGGTAAAGGACGGAATACGGGGAAGGTGCAGAATGTGGGGCTCTGCAGATCAGCACACGCTCCAGAAGCCCCCGCTGCTTTTTATTTTTGCAGTGCCGGGATGAGCCCAGGGCTTCAGACAACGCAACATACAAATAAAGATGGGTTCCTGAAAGGGGTTCCTTTTACCACACAACCACCCTGTTCTGAAAAAGTGTAACTACAACCACAATGGAAACAAATGATCCCTCTCCGGCATAATCTTCTTTCTCTCTCTCTTTTTTCTTCTTTTTGGGTCACACCCAGAGATGCTCAGGAGTTACTCCTGGCTCTGCACTCAGGAATCACTCCTGGCGGTGCTCGGGGGACCATATGTGATGCTGGGAATCGAACCCGGGTCGGCCGCATGCAAGGCAAACGCCCTCCCCTCAGCGCTATCGCTCCAGCCCCTCCAGCATAATTTTCACTGCTATACTCAACTATTTTTCTCTACTCCAAGCTCACACATAACAAATAGTTGCATATGAACAACTATTTTATTATTTTCCAAATCAGACTGATGCCAAGAAAACAAGGGTCGTGCATAGCAACATTTAGAGGCGTTTCTAATTTGGGGGAGCCGCAGCTAGCAGTGCCTGGGGGACTAGACGGTGCCAGGACTCACATACAGGGCCTCACCGGCGTGGAGTCCGTGGCCGCACCACTGAGCCACACCCCAGCCCTAAATATTCTTTGAGGAAAACCCACCCAAGCTACTTCTCACATAGTGTGTCCCATTATAAAAACCTGTCAACTAACTAAAAAAAAAGAAAAAAAACCCCTGTTTTGTCTCTCCCTAAGTTCACAGTTTAAGAATTCATGAGTAAAAGTTAAAACTTTTGATGTGGGCAATTTCCCTTTCCAATGAACCCCTATGTGACATCCTGCTGACTGCTAGACTGTTGCTATAATGACCTCCCGAGCTTCGGGCACGGGAAGCCCTTCGCTGACTTTTACGTGCAATAAGCGGCTGAGGGACATGTCCAGCCCTCCTCTGCCGGCTCCCAGGACCTGTGCGAGTCTGTGAGGCTTTGGAAGACAGTAGAGGGAGAGGGTCATGGATTCTTAATTGGGGCCGTATTGGAAGACACATGTCCACTGTATTTCATCCTCTCTGTTATTCTTTGGTAGTGTCAAGGATCGAACCCAGGGCCTCAAACATACAAGGTAATTTCCTGTCCTTGAACTGATGACCCTGACTGATCTGTTCACTGAAATTCCACTTGTCTAACTCACCTTGTTCCTTAGCAACCTCAGGTAAGTATGTAGCTGTACGTTTGACGCCTTTTTCATTGATGAACTCAATTCGAATCCCATGGACCCCCACCTATAGGAGTACACAATCAAACAGAATGGCATTTACTATTCCAGTGAAGGTCACTCACTGATGGGCGGACATTGTCCCTTGACCAGCGCATCCCAAGTCTGAGGAAAAGAGACTCTCCTTTTCATGACAAACTCTGCTTCCCAGGGAAAGATGCCCCAAAAGTCCTGCCACTCAAAGAAGGTGTCAGAATATGAGACTTGGAGTCTCTGTGGGACTGTGATGACTGAGAAAGAAATTCCTCCGATAGCACATTCAACATTCTCAGTCATTTCACCTTCCATCTATTTAACTACATTCCACAGGATACTTAAAAAAAAAAAAAAAAAAGGATACTTCTTTCTTCTTTTCCTTTTGGGCCACACCTAGTGGTGCTCAGGGGCTACTCCCAACTTAGTGCTCATGGGACCATGCAGGGGCACGGGTCAAACCAAGCACACACTCTAGTACACTGAGTTATCCCTGGCCTCGTATGGGCTATACGCTGGGTTCATGACTTCACATCTGACCCCTAAGAATAACTGATTTTTCTTCTGGTGCCAAGAATCAAATCCAGCGTCTCACACAGGCAGGGTAAATGCCGTACCATGAAGCCACATCTCTGGCCAGCCCCAAAGAGCAACTTTTACTTGAGGGCTTACCATGGGCATCAATATTCTCCTTCATTTTATGATGTATTAGACATGGGTGAAGTTTGTGGAACAGGAGGAATAGGTAAGAAACAGGAGAAGTCATTACATCTCTTTTAACTTCTAACAGCATGGCTCCTTTTCCTGTCATCTCTGTGGCCCACAATTGCTTCCACACTCAGCTTTCACACTTTATGCCCTCGATAAGGAGATACATTACCATGTACTAACCCGAACCCAAATGCAACGAGAGATGCAGAGTTCCAAATGCAGCTGTTCTCACCTCCCAGTCCAGGTAATCACTGGCATCCTCAAAGTTAGTGAGGAGGGAGACAGAGCAGTAAAGCTTAGGCAGCTCCTCTCTGGTCAGGGGGGGGAAGCGGCTGTCCTTAAGTGCACTGGAGGGACAGAAAACATTCAGTGAGGCTGCTGGGAGCCAGGAGCCACAACCCCGAGCCCCTGGAACTCAGCGATCCTGAGCTGAGAAGGGGAGACCTCCTGACCATCAACAGCGACTCTAAAAACAACCTGACGCTACTAATTTCTATACCTGAGCTGCAAAGTGACTCACCAGGTTAAAGTCCCTGCATTTCCCAAAGGAGAACGCTCAATCTCTATCACTGAGGGCGGTCGGGCAGCTGTGTCTGACTCTAGACAATCAACTGCTCTCCCACTCTCGGGTCTGTTGTCATTACCTGGTTAACGTGTATTCCCTGAGTCCTGAGTGAAGATTCATGGCTGAGAAGGTCCCGATGCAGCCACGAAGCCGTTTGTCCCGCCCCGTCTTCCAGGTCACAAAGAGCGGACTAAAAAGGCAAAACACAAAACATTCTCCAGCCCAAGTCAACGACTGGTTAAGTACAAAAGCGCTGGTGTCGTCCCCATTCATGTCCGTTTTCCCCCCAGGAAACTCTGCCGCTGGGGAGTCTGGGGAACAGCCCCGACAGAGACGGAGAGATCTCTCCAGGTGGCCACACAGAGAAAGGATCTCTGCAGTCTATTCTGCGTCCCACCCAGGTGACAGTTACGAGGTCGCTTCCTTGCCTTCTGCTCTGACTCCGTGTCTTTTCCCTTTTTCCTCTCCTGTACGGAGTGTCTGCCCCGGCCCGAGCCTTCACAGAGACACTGATGTCCAGGGCAGCCCCCTCCCTCTCTACCGGCACTTTCTACAACCCAACAGTGTTCTCATTACTTCTGCCCCCTGGCAACTACAAATACATCCTGCTCAGAAAAGAAATGAAAAACAATGTCTTCTCAAGGAAACTTATTGAAAGAAGTTGCCACTTTGCTTCAAGGCCAAAGTCAAGTTTATATCCAAGGATGGTTCTGATTTTCTAGAGGTCTGCAGGACTGTCTGTCCATCCCAACGATTCCTCTTCACCACTATGTCCTGACCTCTCAAGATCACTGAGCTGAAACTTCTATAAAGCGACCCAGATGTTTATAGTCAACACTGATGCTTGTGTGCACGGAGCCAGGTGCCAAACCCAGGGCCTCACACACATAAGCTGACCGATTTCCTCAACGGCCATCAGAAAACAGATCTCACACTGATTGTTTCCTCCCCCCAAAACACGTGGCCAGCACTAGCCATAGTCAGTGCCCTCAAGAGTGAAAAACTACAAGCTGCAGAATACAGCAGCTGTGATCACTGCCCGCTCTTCCAAGCCCATGTCCCTCTGTGACCCAGCCACAGCAGTCCATGGCAATCCTTTCCTAAAAAAAAAAAAAAGAAAAGAAAACCACATTTCCCTCTACATTTCCTCTCTTCTGATAACAGCTATGAAGTTCCTGTACCTAATGGACAACATGCAGGATTGAGCTGTGCAAGTATGACCTGCCAACACCTCTCAGAAGCAAGGACTTCCTCATCCCTCACTTCCGGTCCCTTCCCAGTGGGGCCAGGCTCTGTCTTGGCACGGTACCGGCAGTTGAGAAACGACACTCTCAGGTCAGTGGATGTCCAGTCCACCGAGCCATCTCCCCAGCCCAGGCTCTATCATCCTGGTATGTGCCAGAAGCCTGCTGGGACCACTCAGATTTCCCAGGAACCAGAGAACCCTTGGATGACAGCACAGTACCAGGAAGCGAGCCTCCAGTTTCCACCCGACTCTCCTCCACTTCCAGCTCCCGTAGACTTCAACAACACTGGGATCCGTGCGGCGCACAGCTCCACTAAGAATCAATGAGCTGGGGCCGTGGAGGAGGTACAGTGGTTAGACTCTTGCCGGGCAGGCTCCTGACTCCAGCTCAAGCCCAGCACCGCCTATGATCTCCTGAGCATCACCGAGACTGATCCCAGAGCACAGAGCCAAGAGTAAAGCCCCAAGCACCAGCAGGTGCGGTCCAAACACAAACAAATGTATTATCAAGTGACCTCACCACGCTCTGCTTTGTGGATGATCATTTTCGAGCAAGCCTATACTCTACCTCCTCCAACATCACCTCAGGCCCACCTCGGGCCGCGTTCCGGCTACCGTGCGGGTCTTCTCACCACCCCATCTCTGAGCTGTGCCCGTCGCTGCCCTTCCCGGGCCCGGCCCTCGCGGCTCACTCACTAGGGGTCATTGGTGAATCTAGGGAGCCGTGGCTGCGGGAAGCCATAGAGGTGACAGTAGAGGACGTCGAAGCAGTAGCAGCACATCTCTGCGGTCACCACCAGGTTCTTGGTGGTGTTGGCAGTTCCGTTGGGCCGGGGGAGAGGGCTCAGCGCTCCCGATGCGGGATTCATTCGTGTGATGGGCGAGTTGCCGGGGCCCAGAGCTAGGTCGGACACATTCTCCCGGCCGCTGGTGCCGTCCACATGCTGGTGGTTCTGCAGAGGTCCCGAACTAGAGCTGGGCGCCGCGGCGGACTGGTTCCCGTGACTGTGCGCGCCGCTTCCGGATAATTTGGGCTTCTTGACCCCACAACAGCCTGCTGCCAACTTGGGCTCGAGTGGAGGAACGCAGCGTCTTTTTCCCATCCTGATTCAGTGCTCGAGGTCTGGAATGCTGCAGAACCCTGAGCAGAGAAGAAATGTCAGTGACGTCGAATGGCTACGAAGAGAAGCCTCATCGAGTTCCTTCTCTTCCTCACTGCTCACATGGGCACCCTGAGCTCCAGACCAGGTACCCAATCACCCTGAAGGGGACTCCGGGCAGCAAAAGGTGCTGGCAGCTGGCCCGGAGCTGGATGAGGTCATCTGCAAACTAACGGCACGGCTGCACGTGGCCGCCAGACCGCCATCAGAGGGCTGGCTTGGCCATTTCAGAGGCTGCAAATGCAACTACCTATTTTTAAGGATCCCCAGAGAAACTTTCCTGTTTTCTTGTGCTAACTACTTTCCCTCAGCATTTTTTGACATCTCTAACCTACATCTATCTGAGCCACTACCGCCCCGGGCCCCGTGAGGGGACGCAGAGCACTGCCATGCCACGGGGCGGCTCCCAGGCCAGGCCTCCCGTCCTGTCCCGACTCCTCCTGCCCTCGGATACCTGACTCATTTTCTCTGCTTCGCCTCTGAAATCTATCCCATTTCTATACATCCTTCCACCCTCTCAAGAGCCCACTGAGAAAAGCTCCAACCGAGTAGGAACCTTTATTCCCACAAGTAGGTCACGCTTCACAGCCTTTTGTGAGGTAGCCGCATGTGCCCTGTCACAGCTGGACACAGACACACAGCCCCTCAACAAAATGTGGCACCAGGCAGTCCGGACGCCAGGGCCTCCGACTGAGGCGGAGGACTGAGGAACCTCTCACTCTTTCCTTTCTTGAAGAAGCCTAAGGGGATCGGGGAGGGTGCACAGGAGCTAAGGGCCTTGTCTTGCGTGCCAGAGCTTTGGCTTGGACCCAGGTTCTTGACCCTTAGTTCGGGGTCGCCAGGGGCCACTCCTGCACCCAGACAGAGCCAGGAATAGCTTGAGCATGCCTGGGTGTGGTATGCCCCTGTCCTCCAAAGGCCCGAAGACAAAAATGTAAAGCTATACCATGACCAAAATACAAACGGCTATTCTGTCTGAGCGTTAGCGGCAGGAAGATGAGGCTCGGCAGCAGAGGAGAGCCATGCTAGTGTGAGGCCTGGGCCAACTCCCAGCATGCAAGTAAAGAAATGACGATGGGGTAACACGTGTGGTCCCCAAGTCCTGCTAGGTGTGGCCCAACTCCTCCACCCACACACAAAAGGAACAATTCTAAAAGACAATTATGTGCTAGATACATACACGAGAATAAAAAGTATTGTTTCCTCAAGTTAGCAAAAAGCAACAGACTTTGATATTATGAACATTTACAAGACTAGGATTTTTTCCTGAGTGGTGGTTCTGAGACTGGACGCAGGTCCTCTCCCACACGCATGGGGTGCATCCTGTCATTTAGGTCATTCCTGGGCTGACTCTATTCTCAACATCTTCACTTCTTGCTTCCTTTTTCTGGTCACATCTGGCAGTGCTCAGGGGTTACTCCTGGCTCTGCACTCAGGAATTACTCCTGGAGGTGTTCGGGAGACCACATGGAATGCCAATCAAACCCAGGTCAGCCACATGCGAGGGAAGTGCCCTACCTGCTATGCTATCGCTGCAGTCCCTAGAACTGACTAGAAACAATACTCTGGTTGGAAATCCTGCAGCCTCTTCAATGACAGACATTTACATACCCAGCTACAGCATCACTATTTCCTTTCTTGCTTTGTTTTGTTTTCGGTCCTGGCCTGTTGGTTCATCTCTCTGGCCCTGCCCTTCTACAAAACAACCGGTTCCTTTCAGTTGCCTGAAACAGACTTCATCCCTTGCCCTTCCCTCTGTCATGATGAAAGGGGTCACACATCTGGCTGCGGGGTTCAAGCCCAGTCTGTTCCCACGATGCCGGAGATGGCACTCCTGACGCAGGGCTGCCACACTCCTGGCACGGGAACTCGCCTCTGGCGCTGCACTGGGGATCCCAGAGGCAGCGCTTTGGGGATCACTCAGCACAATCAGTGACTAGCCTTGTGACCTGCCAGGAGGTGGCTGAACCCGAGTTCTTCCTGGTACCTCAAATTTCAAACGTTGTTTCTCTATGTCTTTGATACATGTGATTTACATAAAATACACACCTAGGGTGATTTTTGAAAAAGTCTTGATATAATAAAATGCCTGTGCTCCTCTAGGCATAAATGTTTAGACCCTTTAGACAGACAGCAAGCAGAAGGCCAAAGAGGTAGCACAGCAGGTAAGGGGTTTGTCTTGCGAACAGCCACACTGGGTTTCGTCCCTGGCACCCTCATATGGTCCCCAAGCAGTGCCAGGAGTGATCCCTGAGTGCAGAGCCAGGAGTAAGGCCTAGGTACTAGTGGGTGTGTGGGTGTGGGGGGAGAGCAGAAGGGAAGGAGGGAAGGAAGGAAGGAGGGAGGGAGAGGAAGGAAGGAATAGAGGGAGGGAAGGAGAAAATGCCTCTAGAATCCAATGGCCTGGGCTCAAATCCTGACTCCTCCAAGACTAGTCCACGACTCAATTTCTTTAAAATGAGAATGGTAGCAGTACTGCCCTCCTGGGTTGTTAGCAGAATTAAATGATTTTGGTTTGGTTAGGTTTGGGGGCCATCGTGGGAGATGCTTGGAGCTTACTCTGTGAGTCTGTGCTCAGGCATCACCACTGCAGGTGCGTAGGGATGAAACCCAGGTAGAGCACGTGCAAGGCAAAATCCTACCCACTGTACTATTACTCAAGTCCCAATCACACAATTCTTATATGCATAAGGTACCTGAAACTGTCTCTGGCATGTGGTAGTAAGCGCCAATCTATGCCAGCAACTAGCGTCTTACTCAACTGCTCTGACAGAGAAGGCTGGTGGGTCAGCACGCCCCGAGCCCCGCTACGCTGCCTGCTGCTGTCCGAGGCAGCACTCGGGTGAGGTCAGGGCCCACAGCCTTCCCCTGCCTTTGCTCAGGTCGCCACCACTCCAGCTGTGGGGCTGTCCCCCTCTCCGTGTCTCTGAGCTCTCTGCCCCCAACCCTAGCTTCTTAGACTGTGGGGCACACCCCCTACAGGGTCATATCGCTCTTTAAATTTTGTTTAAAAATAAACTCCCTTATGATTATCAATAAATCTCTGGATGTCTATATTATAAACCTGCACACCTGCAATCATGCCCAATTACCTGGTGAAAGGGGTTGCACATGCAAAGTTTCAGCGGTTCTGCTCCAAATAACCACAGCAGACTGTTATTACCATTATTTTGGGGAGAGTCACGCTGAGGTGTTGGAGGGGCCCCGCAGTCTCCTCTACAGGCCTCATGCACAGAAAGCCTGCGCACAGCCTGTTCAGGTACCACTCGGGCCCAAGGGAAATTGTTTGATAGAAAATTTTTTTTCTAAATTTTGGGGAGGTCTGGAGCACAAGTCTAACTTGCACAAGACTCCCCAGTTTTCAACCCTGGCACCACATGGTGACTCCCAATACAGCCGGGGAGGAGGAGCAGGAGCAGTAGTTCCCCCCGCCCAACAAAAATTATGAGTCAGAGCTAGTCAACAGGATGCACCATTCACGTCACCAGGAGCAGCCCCTGGCCCCAGAGCACTGCCCTAGTCTCCTGGGGCCACAGTACAAAACACAGGCAAGCAACAAAGGGCTAACTTTCCATCAGTGCACTGATGAAAAGGCAGGAGGCCTTTGTGGCTGGAAATGCAGATGTGCAGGGGAGCAGGGTTCCATCACAAACAAGGGGCAATGGCGAGAGTATCTCGCCCCAAGCCAGATCAATGGTAGAAGAATCATGACCTGGACTAAGATCCTGTGTCAGAGAACAAGACCTGGGCCTCTCCACAAAGGCACAGTGAGTGAGGCCTGCTTAGCAGTATCCACTGGGTTCGGTCAATAGGATTTTTAAGCCACACCCACAGGTACATTAAACTAGCCTAACTTGCAAGTCCAGTGGGGAGAGAGCACCTGCCTTCCACATGTCAACCCCGGTCTGATTCCCGGCACCTCGTATGTCCCCTCCAAGTTTGCTAGGAGTGATGGCTGAGTGCAAAGCCAGGAGCACGCCCTGAACACCACCGGGTGTGTCCACGCGCATCACCCTCAAAAAAGGATCAATAGAATTTTGCTAACAAAAATGCACTGCATGTACGCACACAGCTTTGTTCCTCAAAATCTGAGTCCAAGTCTAACATCTCAGCCCTCACCAGCAACACTGATCACTGTGCATTGGGTCTTCAATGGATATTAATTGTCCCAAGCCCATTAGTCTGGGGGCCACACCCAACCCAACCACACTCAGTACCCTGGCCCCAAGCACAGGGACCCAGCCCAGGCAGCCTGGACACCACGTGCTGCTTCTAGTCCCTAGAGCTGTATCTCTTGGCCTCGGCCTCCAAGCTCTTAACTAGGTACCTTGCGCATAAATGTGGGTAGGAGGCTTATGATACGAGTTGAATAGAGCATCAGGACTATACTTAGGGAGCCAGAACTTTATTCCATATTTATCTTGTTTTTGCTGTGCCTGAACTGAACCCAGGGCTTCACACATGGAAAGCAACTGCTCTACCAATGAGCCACATCCCTGATACCTGAGAGCCAGCTGGTTAGATTCGGGGTCACACCTGGCAACGCTCAGACTCATTAGTGAGCCAACCGAATGGGCTCCAGCCCTTTGACCTGTCTTTCCTGCAGGTTGCTACATTTCTTATCTGTTGTTTTCTTTGGGGGGGGGGGTGAGGCAAGGGAAGGCAGGGGTTGGGGCTTGCTGAGGGCGCGTCTTGGTGGTTCTCCGGGACATATGCGGTCCAGGGTAGAATCCAGATCAGCAGTGTGCCGGCGCCTCACCCAGGCAGTCTTTCCCTGTTAACAAGGCAAACAGGGCCCCGAGGATCTGCCTCTAGCAAGCCAGCATTCAAAGAAGCAGGACTCTTTTCCTTCAAAAAAACTTAGGGCCCAGAAGCAGCTCAGCAGCAACATGGCTAAGTCCTAGCCCAGCACTGCCCCTGGACACCAAGCCAAGCATCACAAGGAGGGGCTGGAGCGATAGCACAGCGGGAAGGGCTGTTT